GAGCTGCTGTGTTGAAGGATATACCTTAATGTATTTATCCAGTTTCCCCTATAAATGGACATTAAGATTGTTTTCAGAGTATTCTTGTAAACAATACAGTTTGTCATTTCAGACACATATAAGAATATTAGTAGGATAAATTATTTTAAGTGTGCATTTATAAATTTATGGATATTGCCACAATCCCCTCTGCTAGGAAGTCTATTCGACAGTATGTCGAAGTGCCTGTTTTTCTAAACTCTCTTCAGTGTGGTGAATTGTTAAACTTCTGGATCTCTGCCAATCTGACAGGTGAAAAATAACATCTCAGTGTAACTTTAATTTGCATTTTCTGAGATTGAGCAACTTTGTGTAATTTAAAAGATCATTTAAATGTATTTTTCTGAGCATTCTTTGTTGATATTCTTTACCCATTTTTATTAGGGTGTCAAGGTTTTCCTGACTCGTTTGTAGATGTTCTTTGTACGTTTGGGAAATGAGTCCTTTGTCTATAGTAAACCTGCAAATATTGTTCCCTAGGTGGTCATCTAGATTTTCTGCATTGCAGAAGATACCGTTAGCTATTTTTAATTTTTTAAATTTAAATATTTCTCAGTTTATTTTAAGTTTTCTAGGAGTTGGGTCATATTTAGGAAGGTTTTCCTTACTCTAAGGTTATAAAAATAATTTTCTTCTGGACTTCTATGGTTTCACGCGCGCACATGTGTGTGTGTGTACACGCACTTAGGTCTATCTCAAATTTATTCTGATGCAGAGTGTGAGCTATGGACCTGCTTTTCCCCAAATATCTAACTTGTTCCAGTACCCCTTAATAATTTATTTTTCCTCATTGATTTGAAATGCCACCCATCTTATATATTGAATTCAGATATTTATTTACCTCTTCATATTTATTTATTTGGGAACATTCATTTCATTTTCTATTAATCTTTTTCTCTGTCCATGTGCAAAGCCCCACTGTCTCAATAATTGTAACTTTGTAAAGTATTTAATATCTGGTAAAATGAGTCATTCCTTGTTAATTTTATTTTTCAGAATTTTGTTAGCAATTCTTACTATAAACATTAGAATCAACTTGTCTAGCAGGAAAAAAAGTTTGTATTGATCATGTTAAATATGTAGATTAACAGAGAAAATGGCATCTTAAAGATGTTGAGTCTAACCATCCAAGAATGCAATGTATTCCATTTTCTGAAGTCTGTGTTTTTTTTTAAATCTTCTGTTTTTGTTATTATAAATGGAGCATTTTCTTCCATCATATCTTCTGATTGGCTGCTGTTGGGGATATGAAGGCTGCTGATTTTTGTAGAGACATTTTGTACTGGCCACCTTAAACTCTCTTAGTGTTGAAGTAATTTTCTTCATTAATTATTATGGCTTCAAGTCATCTCATCTGCATATATCCTCCAAATTTGTAGAACTTTCTTTTTCTTCTGTTTAATTGCATTGATGAATACCTCCAGAACAAAGTTAAGCAGTTGGTAAATACAGACAGCATTCTCTTGTATCTGACACTAAGGAGGACACTTTCAGTGGTTCTTCATTATACATGGTACTGACTCTTGAGTTGAGATAAACATATTTTATTGTGTTCAGGATTTGATGAGCATTTATGTCAGGAATGGATGTTAAATTTTGCCAGTTGCCTGTTCAGGATCAATGAGCAAGATCTGAATGATTTTTTTCTCGTTTGGTCTGTTTCTGTAGTGGATTCTGTTCCTAGGTTTGTTTGTTGGTTTGTTTGTTTGTTTGTTTGTTTGTTTGTTTTAAGAATGGAGTCTGTCACCAGGCTGGAGTGCAGTGGTGCAATCTCAGCTCACTGCAACCTCCACCTCGCGGGTTCAAGTGATTCCCCTGCCTTGGCCTCCCGAGTAGCTGGGACTACAGGCATACACCACCATGCCCGGCTAATTTTTTGTATGTTAGTAGAGACGGGGTTTCACTGTGTTGGCCAACCTGGTCTCGAACTCCTGACCCCGTGATCCACCTGCCTTGGCCTCCCAAAGTGCTGGGATTATAGGCGTGAGCCTCCACACCCGGCCAGTTTTTATTTATTTGTTTTTTAGAGACAGAGTCTTGCTCTGAATTAATTATTTAATCTTCTTAATTTTTCTTTCCTGTTGACCTTTGCTTTGCTTAAAGTCTTTTCCTTTGAGTCATCCAGGCTGGAGTACAGTGGCACGATCATGGCTCACTGTAACCTTGAACTCCCAGACTTAAGCAGACCCCACCTCAGACTTCTGAGTAGCTAAGGACTATAGGCACATGTCACCACGTCCAGCTAATTTTTAAATTTTCTCAGAGACAGGGACTCACTGTGATGCCCAGACTGGTCATGAACTCCTGGCCTCAAACAGTCCTCAGCCTCAGCCTCCCAAAGCATGGGATTACAGGCGTAAGCCAAGGCCACTCAACCATATTGTATCATTCCTGTAACAAGCTGTTGCAGTCTGTTTGATATTATTTCTGTTTTCCTTTTCTTTCGTTTAGAATTTTCTCTGTCTAGATATTCACAAATTATCTCCAAATGAGATTGATCTATGTTTTTCTTGTGTGTGTATTCTTTTTTTTTTTTTTTTTTTTTTTTGAGACGGAGTCTTGCTCGTGCCCCAGGCTGGATGGCAGTGGCGCGATCTCGGCTCACATGCAAGCTCCGCCCCCCGGGTTCACGCCATTCTTCCTGCCTCAGCCTCCCGAGTAGCTGGGACTACAGGCGCCTGCCACCCTCGCCGGCTAGTTTTTTGTATTTTTAGTAGAGACGGGGTTTCACCGTGTTAGGCCAGGATGGTCTCGATCTCCTGACCTCGTGATCCCGCCGTCTCGCCTCCCAAAGTGCTGGGATTACCAGGCTTGAGCCACCGCGCCCGGCCTGTGTATTCTTTTTTGATAAGTTTTAATTTTTAGTGTTTTGTTTTGCTACATGGAAAGGATTTAAGTTTACACTAAAAAATACTCTTTTTTTTTTTTTTTAAGACAGGGTCTCACTGTTGCCCAGTGCTGGAGTGCAGTGGAATGATCTCGGCTCATTGTTGGCTTCAACTCCTGGGCTCAGGCGATCCTCTCACCTCAGCCTCCCAAGTAGCTGGGATTACAGGCGTGTTCCACTATGCCCAGCTAATTTTTGGTATTTTTTTGTAGAGATGGGGTTTCGCCATGTTGCCCAGGCTGGTCTCGAACTCCTGGGCTCACGTGATCCTCCTGTCTTAGCCTCTCAAAGTGCTAGGATTACAGGTGTGAGCCACTACATCTGGCCGTTTCATTCATGTTTTCAAATATATTTGAATGAGGAAAAGTTCTCCTTTGTGGTTATTGTAATAGCCTACAGAGCTATTAATTTTTAAATTTTGTTTATTTTATGTCTCCTTTTTTTTTGTTTAGGCTGAATAACCATTTATTTCATAGGTTTGTTACTTTTTTTCTTCCAAAGAACTTGCTATTGTGTGCATTTATAGTCCTTTTATTTTTAAATTTTCTATTTCATTCATTTTTACTTTCTACCTTCTTTAGATTTATTTCGTGCTTTTTCTATCTTCTTGAATTGAGTGTGCTTTATTTAATTTCATTCTTTCCTGTTAATTTTGCACAAGCACAGCTTTAGCTACATTCCATAGGTATTTGTATAGGTAGTTGTTTTAGGATGCGCTATAAGCTGTTCTGACAAAGATACCAAAATTCAGTGACTTAAATAAGACCCAAGTGTCTTTCTCTCCCTAGTTACATTCCAGAGGTGGGCAGGGCCTTTGTTTCAGTAGAGACCAAATTCCTTTCCTCTAGTGGACCTGCCATCCTAACAGTATTGCCCTTATCTGTTTGGTTAGTGATAGTTCTCACCATTGGGTTCTAGTTGCAACCACTGCGAAGGAAGAACAAAGGGAATAGAGGGCATTTCTTTTCCAAAAGATGTGACCTGGAAGTTACATTGCTTTAGCTCACATCCCGTTGGCTAGAATTCATCACATTACTACATCTAGCACAAAGGAGTCTCAAATATAGTCTCTGGCAGGAGAGCTGGGATTACAGGTGTGAGCCACCACACCCAGCCGTCTGTTTGATTTTTGAGATGGAGTTTCACTCTGTCACCCATTCTATAGTGCAGTAGTGCAATCTCGGGTCACTGCAACCTCTACCTCCCAGGTTTAAGCAATTCTCATACCTCAGCCTCCCAAAGTGCTGGGATTAAAGACGTGAGCCACTGCCTGACCCATTTTGGTTTTGATTTTTTTTTTTTTTTTTCTTTGAAATAGAGTCTTGCTCTGTCATCTAGGCTGGAGTGCAGTGGCATGATCTCAGCTCACTGCAGTCTCCCCCTCCTGGGTTCAAGTGATTCTCGTGCCTCAGCCTCCCAAGTAGCTGGGATTATAGGCACCCGCCACCATGCCCAGCTAATTTGTTTTGTATTTTTAGTAGAGACGGGGCTTCACCATGTTGGCCAGGCTGTTCTCTACCTCCTGTCCTCAGGTGATCTACCACATCATTTTGGTTTTGATTTTTATTTTCAAGTGTTTTCTTACTTTGTCATTTCTAATTTTATTGCATTGGGACAAAAGAATATTGTACTGTTTCTACTGTTGGGGTTTATAAGGGCTGTGGATATTTTACTAGCCTTTGAAAAGAAAATTTTCTCTGTTAGTTTGTAGAGTTTGGTATATACCAATTAGATTTTATTACTTATCATTTTGGTCTTTTATATCCTTACTTAATTTTGCCCTCTTGAATTTTAATATAGCTAAAGACATAAAGTCCTCTAATAACATGTGTTCTCTTGGCATTCTTGTACTTTTTATGAATATTGATGCTGCACTATTTGTGTACCCAGGGAGAAGGCCAGACCACTGTCCAAAGTTTAGTGAATCCAGGCAGTCTTGTTTCCCAGTTGCTGGAGGATGCCTCATGGAGGAAAGCATTCCTAATCCTGGAGCTTGTTTTGTTGTACTCTAAATTGAATTGTAATGTGTTTCTTTAACCTGAATGAATGTTTCTATTTTTTATTTATTACACAGGTAATTCTGACTCGAAGGACAGAAGAGGTGAGCTGCTCACCTTGTATCTGTTGTTGCTTTTACACAGTGTACAGTATTCATCTATTTCCTCTGCTCATAGTCTGTGGTAACCGTGTGCGTCTGTGGCTGTGTTGTTTGTTTACTTTCCCTTAAGTTATTTCTATTTCCGTGTTAATCTCTTAGAGAAGAGAAATGGAAACAAGTACTGTATTCAGTATGTTTTTTAATATAGACTATGGATTCTAACAGCTATGATGTATTTTAACAAGTAATAAAATATATCGTACTTTGCCATGTCATGTCATACTTGTTAATATTGCCTTTTGGTGATTAGGTCATAATTTCTATACCGTGAGTTACTTCTGATTTCTAGGCCACAGTTCCCTTTAAACATTCTTTGTGTTGTTTTTCCCCTAGTCTATAAAATGTCAACCCTTTGTGGCTTTATATGGATTTTTGGATTTTCAGCCCTTTAATGTAAAGTGTCTATGGCCTGAGATGTTGTATCTGTGGTTTAAGCTGGACTGCTGAGTCCCTGGTCACTAAAAAGTAGGTATTTGTCTGCAGAAGTGTGGCACATTTTGCCTAGAATGACAGTAAGGCTGCTATCAAAGAGCATGAGAGAAAGAGAAAGAGATCATGTAACATTCTAAGAAGTGATTATTACATTTGAGTTTTAAAAATGTTACTGTTTGAAGCAGTATTTTTATCATAATTTTCTGTTTTATCAAATCAGACTTGAGTTTTTGTCTGATTCCATTATTTAACCATACACTATTTTCCCTGTGTAATTAAGTAGTGGAACACTGGAAGGCATATGAAGTCCCAGTAAGTAGGGAGCATTTGAGTCAGAAAAGTGGGTACTCTGATCTTTTATGTGATGTCCATCTGCCATTGTATTTGGTAAGGAATAGTGAGGTGTTACCATACTGTGTATAGATTTCCCTCACTTTTCCAGATCTCACTTTCCTAAACTTGGGAACTAAACATTGGATTAATACAGTGTCTTTGCTATTCAGATTCACTTGCCAGATTCTATCAAATGTAGACTTAAATAGGTTTTATTGTGGTAGATATTTATATGCTCCCTAAAACTGCTCTTTTAACCAGCCATACAATAAAGTCAGAAGTCAAAGTGGTAGGCTTCCAGATGAAACATAAGATCCGTTGACTCCTTCCTCTATTTAGTATATATTTTCATAATATTCAGCCTTTTCTTGCCCCAGATATCATACCTATTTTACCTACCTAATATTTAAGTAGTTTCCATGTTGTGATTAAAAAAATAAAATTACCTTAATTACCTAGATTATTGCTAATTGTGGCATATTTAAAGACTATTAATGTAATAAATCTCCTTTCTTAAGTCAAAAAATAATTTTGTATGATTCCAGTCAGTTGACTGAAAATGCAGCGGTATTCTCAGCAGTCTCTAAAGTCCCAAAATCTAATGACAATTTTACCAGAACAGATCTTTAGAAGTATTGCTATAAATTTGGATATCACATTCTAATTTTAAGCCAAATGCTTTTTGATAAATAAGCCAGCTGTTTGGAAATATTTGTGTTATAATGGGTTTGATAAGTGGTTATGTCTTATGCAGATTAATTAGGGGCTACATGTTTCTATGCACTGGTCTTTGGGGTGCTTTTGAACAGTAGGGTCTGATGTTTTAATTGTCAAAACAAAAAGAAATGAGAGGGAGGGCAACTTTTCTTCCTCTTCTGAAGTCCAGAAAACTGGTTATTTTCTCATGCATATTATTTTTAAAATGTATTCCAGCCAGGTGCAGTGGCTCATGCCTGTAATCCCAGCACTTTGGGAGGCCGAGGTGGGTGGGTAGATCACAAGGTCAGGAGTTAAAGACCAGCCTGACCAGTATGGTGAAACTCCGTCTCTACTAAAAATACAAAAATTAGCCGGACATGGTGGCATGCACCTGTAATCCCAGCTACCTGGGAGGCTGAGGCAGGAGAATTGCTTGAACCTGGGAGGCGGAGGTTGCAGTGAGCCAAGATTGCGCCACTGCACTCCAGCCTGGGTGACAGAGCAAGACTCCGTCTCAAAAAAAAAAAAAAAAAAAAATTCAGCATCTTAATATTTGTAAAGAAGTAGTCCTCGAGCTACTACTTAAGTCTAGAAAGAGTTGACATTCTTGTTTTAAGAGTGTTAGGGCAGTTTGGGAGGCTGAGGCAGGTGGATCGTTTGAGCCCAGGAATTCCAGACCAGCCTGAGCAATATGGGGAAACCTTGTCTCTACTGAAAATACAAAAATTAGCCAGGCATGGTGGTATGTACCTGTAGTCCCAGCCACTTGGGACACTGAGGTGGGAGGATCACCTGAGCCCAGGAAATGAAGGTTGCAGTGAGCCAAGATTGCGTGACTGTACTCTAGCCTGGGCAACAGAGTGAGACTCTGTCTCAAAAGGAAAAAAAAAGGGTGGGGATTATCATAGTGCCATTATTATTATGAGTTTATGATGGCTTTCTCTAAGTACCTTTTACATTCAGTGCCTTTTAGGCATCAAGGATTCCAGAAAAAAAAATATATTTAAATATATATATATATATATGCATATGCTTCCCTGTCTCAGGGAGGAAATACGTGAACATCAGGAACCGAAGGCTATTCAGTTACATGCCATTGGATATATCACACAAAGTGCTGAGGGAACTCAGAAGACTCATTATATCTGGGGAGTGGAAAGGAGGCACAGAGATGAGCTTTGGGGAATTTAGATTAAAATAGCAAATGGGGAAAATGAAGACACACCAGACAGGGCACAAGCAAAGAGACATGAAAGAGCAAAGTCTTATGTTTGAGCATCTGTGTGCAGTTGACATGTGTGAGGTGTGGGGAGTGGTCGGAGGTGGCCTCAACAGAATGGGTGTGGTGGTCCACTGAGTTCAGGAGTTGGAGCATCTCCTGAAGATGATGGTGAGTAAGGAAGTCACATAGTCAGATGTTGGTTTTAGAAAGATATTCCAGAGGACTTAGGAGAGATAGATGGACAAGAGAAATTTAGGTTTCTGAATAATTTGGCTCAAAACAACAGTGATTGGGCTCAGCCCAGTTGTTAGATTCTAGAGGCAATCCAATGAATATTGCTGTTTTTAGAGCCAATAGGAAACATTTAAAACAACATTACAACCTTGCCTTTGAGAGCTGATAAAATACTTGTACCAAAAAGTGTGGCAATAGGTAAATGGGCCATAGGAACTGGGGTTTTAGGACTATGGCTATTCCTTCACTGACTAGTTCGTAGTTGACCAGCATGTGTCTGAAGTCGTTAAGTCACTTACCTGTTTACTTGTGAGCCCTTCAATTAATATGGCCCTTTGTTTTCTTGGAAAGAAGTTATAGCAAGTAGGTATCTGTTGTCCCAGAACACCATTTTAGTGTTTTTTCATTTTATGCTTGTTCCCTGGCCTGAATCTAGAAAGTAAAACTTTGCTAGAATGAAGTTGGGGTTGAAACAATTTCGGTTTCAACCGAACCATACTGTCTCTGTCTCATCTACTCAGCTCTGCCTTTGTAATGTAAAAACAGTCATAGGCTGGGCGTGGTGGCTCAAGCCTGTAATCCCAGCACTTTGGGAGGCCGAGACGGGTGGATCACGAGGTCAGGAGATCGAGACCATCCTGGCTAACACGGTGAAACCCCGTCTCTACTAAAAAATACAAAAAACTAGCCGGGCAAGGTGGCGGGTGCCTGTAGTCCCAGCTACTCGGGAGGCTGAGGCAGGAGAATGGTGTAAACCCGGGAGGCGGAGCTTGCAGTGAGCTGAGATCCGGGCACTGCACTCCAGCCCGGGCGACAGAGAGAGACTCCGTCTCAAAAAAAAAAAAAAAAAACCATAGATGGTATGTAAATGAATGAACATGGCCATGTTCCAATAGCATTTTATTTACAAAAACAGGCAGCGGGCTAAATTTGGGCTACAGTTTGTCAACCCCTGTTCTAGACAAAGAACTGCCTGAGCGTAGGAAGCTGGACTGAGGTTCTCTACTAGTGTGTGAACTTGTGGATGCCAAAGCCAATCTCTTCCCTTCATGTCAGACACTTTGCAAATGTTACCTGTTTTAAATCTCCCATTACCTCTAAAAGGTGGAGGGTGCTATTCTGCCATTTCATACATCATTCTAAGAGATTATCACACTACTAGTAAGTTAGGGTAGTAGGAATTTGAACTTCAGGTCTGTCGCACCCTAAAACCCCGTGCCCTGGAAATGATTTTCTAAGGCTGGCCTGTGGTTCGTTGGTTGATTTCAACCCAGAATTTAAGAATGTTTTAAGAATACATCTAGATGTAAGGATTTTTTTGTCAGTATTACTCCACAAACTGGATTATTTATTTTGACCTGATAACTCAGGAACTTTCTTGTATTATTTCTCTCCCTTCTTACTGGTTTCTTCTTTGGACTCCTGTTGCACAGGTATTGGATCTCCTGGACCTATCCAACTCCTTTCTTTTCTGTGCTGTCATATTTTTCATCTTTTATTGCTCTGTGTTCTGGGAGCTTCCAGGACAGTTGCTCTTTCATACAACTAATTTGGTTTTCAGTTATATCAGTTCTCCTATTTAGCCTTTCTTTTTTTAGAGGCAGGGCTGGGGCAGACTCGTGCTCTGTTGCCCAGGCTGAACTGCAGTGGCCTGATCACAGCTCACTGCAACCTTGACCTCTGGGACTCCAGCAATCCTCCAGCCTCAGCCTCCCAGGTAGCTGGGACTATAGGCATACGCCACCATGCCCAGCTAATCAGATGTTTGTTTGTTTGTTTGGTAGAGACAGACTCTACCAGAGTCTCGCTAAGTTGCCCAGGCTGGTCTCAAACTTCTGGCCTCAAGCAATCCTCCCACCCTGGCCTCCCAAAGTGTTGGGTTTACAGGCATGAGCCGCCATGCCTGGCCTTGTTCAGCCTTTCTATCTAGATTTTTTTCTTTCTAATCATGTTGGCATTTTGTTTGTTTGTTTTTGTTTTTGTTTTGTTTTGTTTTGTTTTAAGACGAGTTTCGCTCTTGTTG